GGTTTCCTATAGTGGAAACCCAGGAGCCCACATCGTTCAGGTCTTCTGACTCCTCTGGCCGAGTTTGCCCGTGCTGTTTCAGGAGCTGCAAATCTATTAGCATCTGGGGCAGCCCCTGACCTCCCACGCTACCAGAAGTGAGCTTTCCATCCACTTCTGGAGGTTACAGTAGAAAGCCCTCCTCCATCCAGTTTTCAGTGGGCAATGAATGGGGATGCTGCCTCCCTTAAGCCAAGTCAGCTCTGCCCAGTCTTAGTTCTCAATTCATAGGATGCACATACTCCAATCAGAATGTTAGAGCCCTAAGGACATTTATGTAAATCGTGTCCAATCCTCTTATTTTACTAAGAATTTGAAGTCTAAAGAAGTTAAGCATTTTGCTCAAAAGACAATAAGTTAGTGTCAGAGCCTGGCCTGGAACCCAGATTTTCTCACTCCCAGTCCAGTGTACCCCTGGGAGGGCCAGTGTGGGTGACTAGAAAGGTGGGGTGGGGTCTGAGGAGATGAGAAGATACGGGATATGAGATGAGTAGAGGAAAGCCATCTCTGAGAGACTCGTGATATTTCTAGAGGGGTTTGGGGCCATGCTGAGGTTGAGTTCCTCTATCCTGCCCACATCTCCAGGACTTCCTGCTGTTCTTAATAGCCTGTGGACAATTTATTTTGGGTTTCAAGGCTTTGGCACACACCCTAAACTGGAAGAGGACACTTAGTAACTATGCAGTAGCACCAGGTGTTTTGTGGATCCAGAGGGATTAACAGCCCCAGGGAGGCTAGGATCAGATTTCTGAGGGACTTCTGTGAACTGAAGGGCAACAGAGCAAGGACGCATGCAGAATTGCTTGCTGGGGAGAATGAAACAAGGGCTCCCGGCCAAGAGGGGCGACTTGCGTGTATGTCTACAAATATGGAAGAAAAGCAGTTTCTAGATCAGGGACAGTTATCTGCTTACTGTTGACAGGGGGAGGGGAGGAGAGAGGGGAGTGCTGCGTGCGTGTGCACGTGCGTGCGTGTGTGTGTGTGTGTGTGTGTTGGGCTGATTGCTGTTTTTCTAAAGGTGAAAAACTGCAATGGTCCAAAATGTACTTAGTGTAAGATAATACTCCCTTTATTCTTAACCCTGGATGATGTCCTGGTTATAACTTGTATCAACTTTTAGGCTGAAATAAGGGCAGACCCTGAGGACCTGGGGAGGGTTAAAGGAACACTGTTCAGGAGGACTATAATATGAGCCACGTATGTAATTTTAAATTTTCTGCTGGTAAAATGGAATAGGTGAAATTAATTTTTTTTATAATTTTATTTATTTATTTATTTTTTCCCCCAAAGCCCCAGTAGATAGTTCTATGTCATAGCTGCACATCCTTCTAGTTGCTGTATGTGGGACGCGGCCTCAGCATGGCCAGAGAAGGGGTGCGTCGGTGCGTGCCTGGGATTGGAACCCGGGCTGCCAGCAGCGGAGCGTGTGCGCTTAACCGCTAAGCCACGGGGCCAGCCCTGAAATTAATTTTAATGTATTTTATTTAACCCAATATATCTAAAATAGTATCATTTTAACATATAATCAATATACGAATTATTAATGAGATAGTTTACATTCTTGATTTTGTACTAAGTTTTTGAAATTTAGTGTGTACTTTTACACTTACAGCACGTTTCATACTGGCCACATCTAAAGTGTTCAGTAGATCCATGTGGCTACTGGCTACCATAGTGGACAGCATAGGTTCAGAGGAAGAGATATATAAAGCTGTACATGGTTAGAAAATGGGGCTAGGGAAAGAAAAAACATATGTCTAGAGGAAAAAATATCTGAGGGTAAGCAATCTTCACAGTGAAGAGCAAATCCCTGTGATGGATATTAATGATTTCCATCTCCACTGAGGGTCCACCTCGTGGCACCCCCCCCTTCAAAAAAAACTGGTTTATATTTCAGCTGTATGAGATGTTTGAGTTAAATCTAAGGAAAGCATTTCAAATAGGAAGAAATTGAATCTTAACTAATAGGATAAATATTTATCTTGCCTTCTCTCTCACTAATAGGGTAAATGTTTATCTTGCCTTCTCTCTCACTAATAGGATAAATGTTTATCTTGCCTTCTTCCTTCAATTTATTCTATGAATGTTAAATAAGGGACCAAGTCATCCCTACCTCTCAGGGATGAGTTAAGTTTGCACTAGATGTTAAGTTTGTCCAGATGTTAAAGATATGATGATGATTATCCTCTGATTTGAATATGACCTGAGACTAAGAAAGGTATTAGCTGGCCCATCAGTTTCTCTTCCAGTACTGTGGAACCTTGAGTTAATGACTGGACAGTATCTATTACTTCACACCATACCTTTTACATAAAGCGAAAGTCATCAAGAAGTTACAGTGCCTGTATTCAGAGGAGGCAGAAGCTGGGTGTTGCTGTTATGGTTACACCAGCTGTCCCATCATGACTCAAGAGGGAGGTGGCGTATGGTGATCAGACATTGAAAGGCTCAGCATTCAGTGGCTTTGCCACCTTGTGCAAGTCTTCAGACTTCCCTGAGCCCTAAAATTTCTTTTTCTGCCCTCCCCAAGTCAAAGGGTTAGTACAAGAATCAGATGAAGCGATGGACCTATATATGCTTTGAAAGCTGCTAAAAAAAAAAAAAGTGCTTTACCAAAGAAAAGAATAGTAAAATATCAGGTCCTTCTTACTGTATCTGTTTCACTAACCTCTTTAAGTGCCAGATATTTGCTAGATGATCGATTCCAGTCACTTCTTTGGATTAAGTTGATTGAAAAATGCTAGGGGGCTTCTGTAAGCTGCGGAGATCATGTCAAGAGATTGTCCACATCCTCTTTGTTCTGCATTGGACCTGAAGTCATTAGACCACTGGCTGGAGTTTGGAAATATTTTGATCTTTATGAGAAATTTTATTTTCATGAAGTGTGACCCAGATCAGTCTTGGCACACTACAGCTAAAGTATCTGTGTCAGATAATTGAGGTCCTCTACATTCTTGCTCCTCAAAGTTGGTCTGTGGACCAGCATGATGAGCTTCACCAAGGAGAAATGCATAGTCTCAGGACACACCCCAGATGTGTCAAACCAGAATCTGAATTTTAACAGGATCCCAGGTGATACCTACACACATTCAAGTTTAGGAGCACTGCTCTATGATATCCCAACTAGTAATAGTCAACACAGTCTCAGCTTGAACAGCTGCTGTGATAGGCAACTCACTTCCTCTTGAGGCAGCCCCTTCTACGGTTGGACAGCTCTTTTAGAAAGCTTCCCCTTCTATCGAGTGAAAGTATGCCTGTGTTTGTAGACAACTCACTTCCTCTTGAGGCAGCCCCTTCTATGGTTGGACAGCTCTTTTAGAAAGCTTCCCCTTCTATCGAGTGAAAATATGCCTGTTGGTATTGCCCACTCAGGGTGCCCAGAATAAGTTTCATTCTTCTGCCACATGAAAGCCCACATAGTAGGTCTTGGAAATGTAAAGGAATGTTCTGTTCCAGTTCTGTCTCTTTATTCACTCCTGCCAGAGTCCAAGGGGACTGGTTTAAGTGATTGCAGTTTGGAATGGGTTTGGAGAACCTGAAGGGGTTTTTCCCAAAAGGGCAAGAGTGTAGACGTGATGTCTGGGATGGAAGTTTGTCCTGCCGGGTGTGCTAAAGGATGAAGACATTGACAGTGGAGATGAACAGGAGGGGATGGTGTGGTGGAGTGGAAAGGTCAGCCTAGCGGCTTTACCTGTCACTAGCTGTGTGACTTTGGGGAATGCACTAAACTCTGAGCATCAGCTTTCTGGGTTTTAAAAGAAAACAGGATAATAAACTGTCCTACCTGTCTCTAGGGTTTCTGTGGGACTCACTGAAGATAATATCAGTGAGCACGCTTGATAATGTGGGAAATGGTCTAAGGATGAAAGAGAAGGTCCAGTGGGACAGTAGTTGAATCCAGGAGACAAGTCTACCACTAACTCACTGTGTGACCTCAGGGGAAGCCCTCACCTTCTCTAGGCCTCTCTGTGAAACAACTGAGTCATACACAAAAGATCTCTGAATGCCCTTCTAGAAGGCCTTGGAGTTGCTGTGGCTCGTTGCTATTACTGAAGGTTACCTGGAGGATTTCTCCAAGGATTGTTCTTCAAACATATATATTTAGGGAGACTTTCCAGAGCTTGGAATTGAATCCTCTCTGAGAGATATGATTCTAAACATCCTTCCAGTGAAGGCCTGGCCTCTACTATGGGAGGCCCATTTAAAAGACAGGTTTGCTTGGCCATGATTTCACCTGTGTTTCCATGTCAGCATGTGGTACCTGAGCTGGTGAGTGAGGAGTGATGGTTTCATTTCTACAACTGTTTCAGGACACACAGTCCTATTTATGAAAGCAGGCTCTGCCCTATGAGATAACTGAACTCATCTCCTTCATAGCTAGAGTGTGTCATGTGCAGATTTTTCTAGGGGAAGAGTCTCGTTTGATACTTCAGATATCACCAAGCATCTTTTCAAAAGCGTTATTCTCTTTTTCAGTTTTTGTAAGTACTGAAATATGGCATACCTGATAGTTTTATGAGCCTGCTTTGCCAGAGAAGGCTCCTAGTCAACCACATAACTGAAACTTGTTTTTGGTACAGCAGTCCTTCCATAGATGTCAGCTGCGAGTGAGGGACTAATGGGTGTGATTATGGAGAAACGTAACTGCTCCTTAAGACAGCCCTTCCATGTCTCTTCCCTGCTACTCAGGGGATCCTGTGTTGTTCATTCTCACCTCACTGCAGCCATGTTCCCAACTTCCCATTTCATTTCCTGAATGCTTGCTTCTAACTCTGTACATTGCATTTTCTCCTGTGCACCCACCGTGTTGTCGTGGAAACTCGGTGGCTGTAAGCCTCGAGTATCCGGTGTCATCGAGTGTTATGGTGTGGTACGTGTATTTGCTCACGCTTTTATTTTGAATCCTTTCCAATGTGACATCTGCTAAAATGTCTCCCTTATAATTTGCTTGGTGATCACAGCCTTCTCATCATTCATTGAGAGCAGGACCTGATCTCACAGAATCTGAAAAGAGCTATGTGGTAAGATGCCTGTTGAATAAGACTGTAGCTTTTCTAAAGAGAATCCTTACTGACTTTTCGAGTCTAGACTGGAGTAATGCCTGGTTAACTCACAGAGCCATGATTTACTAGAATTATATGGCTATTGTAGTAGAGAGAGATGTTAGGCCACCCTCTTCCCTCTCAAAAAAAGCAGAGGAATTTAGAAACAATATTTCTACTCTGCCTACATGTGGGATTAGATTAATGTATTAGTGCATGATTGGGGATTCATACTTGCATTTCTGTCCTGAAATTATTCCATTTGTAACAGTTACTCACTAATTACAGGCTTTTATGCTGCTTCCTTTTTTTTTTTTTTAATATTCATACTAAATCCCAAATTCTTCTGTATCTTACCTGTTTTTCCATGCTTACGCCTGGATCCCTCCTGCACTCCACTACGGAATATCTATTTTTTTAACCTGGATCTTCAACTCTGTTGTTTCCCTGGACTTATGTGCTTCGTCTGGAATGTTACATCTCTTCCTCTCTTTCTTTTTTTTTTTGTCCCCATGTTGACTGTTTTATGGGGGTTTCTGGATATCTCGGGGCCACCTCACAGGAAGCAGTTTGCAATGAGATCATAAACATTGCCGAAAAATCTGTTCATTACTGCAGCACTGTTTCTCATCCCCTTGACTTTCATCACAAGGTATCCCCATCTGACAATAAATCATCTTTAATCATTTCTCAGCAACCTCAAGCCCAGCAGCGAAGAGTCACCCCAGACAGGAGTCAAACCTCACAAGATTTGTAAGTACACTTGGTGAACTTCAATTCTCACGTTCGTAGCAGGCCGTTGGCCTTAGAAAGTGGGTCATTGACTGACTGTGGGGGCAGCAATTTGGGGAAAGGAATGAATCACTGCCAGCTTCTATGAGGATTTCTGGTTAAGGTCATGTTTCCATCAGCCAACATGAAAAGAGGGGGCAGGTAAAGATAGGAGGCCATGGATTACTAGGAGAGAGAGGTAAGGAATTAACTGCCATACAAGGGCAAATGAAAGCTGTGCTAACTGGTTCAGTCCTATTGTGGGAATATAGAGGAAGGAGGGGTTAATTCTGCCTGGAGATGAATGAACAGGGTCAATCCTTTCATTCAAAAAAAATTATTGGCTATCTCCTGTGTTTTAAGTACATAGGAGTAAACTCCATTCACGGAGGAAGGGGGATTTGGAACGAGCATTGAAAGATAGATTGGACTTGAGAACTAGAATAGGGAGGTAAAAGGTCTTCCCAGCTGAGGAAACCACATGTGCAAAGGCCTGGGGAGGTGGTGTGTTTGGAGAACTTTGAGAAGGCCCATGTGGCTGCAGGTTACAGTTCATGGAGGAAAAAGAGATGAGGCTCAAGAAGTAGGTTGGGACCGTATTATAGAATCCAGGATGCAATTGAAATAAGTTTGTATTTTATTCTACAGGCATTCAGGAGCCACTGAAAGTTTTTGAAATGAGGAACATATTGATTATATTTTGTTTTAGGGAGATAACTCTGGCAACAGAGTGGAGGATGGATTTCAGAGATGGGGGACAAAGATATTGGTTAGGAGGTATGAATCCAGCAAATAAGTGATGAGGGCCTGAGCTAGGACAGAGTGGGTGCTTTGTGCGTGGACATGTATAAGATTACCCAAGGAGATACAGGGTAAAGGGAGAAGAGAACCTAGGATAGATCCTTTTAAAGCAACAGAGTAGCAGCCAGAGAAGGAGCAGCAAGAGACGCAGGAGAGGACCTAGGTGGCTTCACTTGTGCAGAACAGAGTAAGCAGTGTTTGGTCAGCACTGCCGCCTGCTTCAGAGAGGCCAAGGAGGGTAGGAAATGAGAAATATCCTCCGGGTGTTCTGTCTGGCAACTGGAAAAATCATTGGTGACCTCTGAAACAGCAGTGTTAGAGAGGTGGAGCAGAGGCTACGTTAGAAAGGGCTGATGAGTTGGTTTGATGGTGAGTGGAAGGAGTGGGGGCTGTAGACCAAGGCAGTAGCACAGACAGGGGAGGTATTTTAGGGTACGGAGACTTAAGCACATTTGTACCAGAGCAGAAGGAGTTGACCGAGTTGAAAGATGTAAGAGATAAGATGTAAGTTAAGGAAATAGCCCAGAGAAGGGAGTTCAACATGGCTAGGAGAAGGGACCCTTCCTCACACATGGAAACAGGCAGGAGAGAGGGTGAAGGTATGGAGACTTAAACCTAGAGGGGAAGGAAATTAAAGTGCTGCCCACAGCAAGCTTCATCTCAGGAAATAGAGGCAGACTGAAGGGCCCTCTGCTGCGAGTCCGGCACCAGAATTGGCAGAGGAGCTGGGGGTAGGACTCAATGGAACAGTGTCGTGAGCAGCATGAGGCCCATTCACAATTAGAGCTGACTTGTTGGGGGGACCCAAGGAGCAAGGTTATGAGACTTCTCCAGCCAGTCTCCACTGTCTGGGAGTGAGAACAGAGAAGCAGACGTCAGGATTTATTTCCCGGAGCTGAGGCTAGCAAAGCAGCCACAGTGGAAGTTAAGGCGATAAGGCATTCTAAGGAGTCCAGGTTGGGTAGGAGATAGCAGGCAAATACAGAAACATCAAAAATGTATTTCTTTACCAACTGGAAATCCCTCTGCATCTCTTAATTCCTCATCAGAGACCTTCCTTCTGGCAGACAGATCCGTCTATCAAAGTATCACTGCATTTGGATAAACATGTAAAATTACATTGTCCCTTTGGTTTTAGCAAAGGAGAATGAACCTCTTGTTTCTGGAAACTGACTCCACTTCCTTGTTTCTGGTCTCTCTTGCCCACACACTGGAATTCTCTGACATCTACTGGAAATGGTAGATGATTGGCTCATTTGCAAAGTTTTCCCTGCTACTGTTGTGTTTCAAAATAGTGAGTAAACAGAATTGCGAACTTGGTGCATAGTAGATGCTTCTTAAGTATTTGTCAAAGGAATAAATGAAAACAAAACTTTTCCTTGTTGCCAAAGCAGATATCGGATTTCATCACAAGTAGTCCAGCTTTCTCCACTGGCGGCTGTTAGCACAGACAGAACAGCACAGACCAGATTGCCTTAGGCCAACTAGCAAGTAAATAAAAATTGTGACCCCAAACATCACTGGGATAGAAAAAAAAGCAAAATGCTTTCAAAAGTTTTAGAAAAATGACATCCACATTTGAAAGCAATTAATGAAATGTGTGTCGACATGTAAAGAAACTCAAGGTAGTTTTGCTAAATAGGCAACTGGAATGTACTTTTTATATCTTTATGTATATAACAGTTGCCTTATGCTCTCCAATTATGTTATTATAATGTTAATATAATAACATTATATTAAACCAGAATATAATGTTTGTCTCTGAACCTAAGTAACTTCTGATTATCCTTGATAATCTACATATATTATCCTATGTTAAGAAAAAGCCTTGATTAACTTGAAAGGGGGAGCATCTAGACAAAAAAGCTTGGCTACAGTGGCCGAATGAAACTAAATAAAAGGATCAATCATGACTTGCTTCTCAGAAGTTCCCCATCCCTGTCAGTCTTAATTTACTTAACACATGCTGAATGGATCTCCCCAAATGCTAAGTTATTAGAAAAGTGGCCAATAAAATAATTTTATCTCTGCTGATGAGTAGGAAACACTGCCTAAAGGTTGATTTAACTGAAATGGGTTTTAAAAACTCATTATTTAATCCTATCGGTGTTTGAGTCACTTAATATTCAATGTTCTCATTTATAGACTTAGCTACCAAGCACTGTATAGCTATATACCACAGAACGATGATGAATTGGAACTCCGAGATGGAGATATTGTTGATGTCATGGAAAAATGTGATGACGGATGGTTTGTTGGTAAGTGATCTCATCATGCTCTTCTTTCTAGTTGCATATTGAAGGAATAACTAGGAGTGATGAGCCATGCAAAAGCAGTATTCTCTGCACAGAAAGAAGAGCCTTCTCAGTTCTTGCACCACCGTTACGAATGCTGGGCCACTCAGTTTATGTTTGTTCTCAAGGCACTGTGGATGATACTAATGTTAGACCTAAAACTAAATATGCCAACATCTACTGCATGGAAGGGCAGTTGTCCAGTTCTTTAACTGAGTTCTGTTTGTATTTCTATTGTGCATACATCTGTTCTACATTTGGAAATTTTGTTTTTTAAAACTCCTATGAAACAACACAAGAACATTCGACTGAGCCTGGGTCTCTACCACGAAACTCAAGCATGTGTGTAGACATTCCATGACCTTATTCACTCCAGGCTTCTAATAAGTTTAATCAAAGCAACCTGCTTAATTAAAACAAAGGATTCACCTTTATAGAACGGGGGAGAGAAAGATCAACCTTTATAGAGATTCTGTTACAAAGCAGACACTTGCTGCATATACTTTCTTTTTGAAGTTCTCTCAGCAGACAGCCCATGAGGCAAGAATTATTCTTGTTTCACAGATTCAAAAACTGAGGCCCAATAAGGCCCAATAAGTAACTAGCCCAAGGTCACCCCACCAGTAGAGAATGGTGGGGCCGGGATTTGAACTCAAGCCCATTTCTCCCCCAAGCCTGTGTTCTTTCTGCTCAGGATGAATAAGATGTTGGGAGCCACTGACTCACTCTTTGCCTCAGTTTTCCCCTCTGCATGTGGTCTTAAACTTTTTCTTCTTTTCAAAGACCAGCTCTTTCGTGCTCTCTCTGGAAAAGCTTTGCTAAAGTGAAGTCATGTCAGGGCTAGGGTAGTGAGAACAGCAAGGCCTTGGCAGAAACGAGAAGCCAAAGAGATTTGCCTTGGCCTCACCAGCCTCTTAGAAAGCTACCCCATCCTCCCAAGGCCCCCAGAACTGTGGCCCTCACTGCCTTGAGTTGTTCTGTTCAGAAGAAAACCAGACCTGAGAGGTCAGTGACACTCTAGTGCAGTGCAGTCCAGTAGAAACATAATGCAAGCCATGTATGAAATTTTAAATTTTCTGGAAGCCACATTGAAAAAAGGAAAAAGAAACCAGTGAAATTAATTTTAATAATATATTTTATTAAGACCATGCATTCAAAATATTATCATTTGAACATGTAATCAGTATAAAAAATTGTTAGAGATTTTACATTCTTTTTGTACATAAGTCTTCAAAATCTGATGTATATTTTATAGCAACAGCCTTGCTCAGTTCAGACTAGCTATGTTTCAGGTGCTCAGTAGCCACATGTGCTTTCATATTAGAGAGTGAAGCTCTAGTATGTATTAGCTGCTGAACTCTTCCAGGAGTATTTACATTTTTAAAGAGAACTTGGGATGGGGTGAGGGGCGCCAGTTCTCTAATGGGGGCATCCCCAGAAGCTAGGTAAAGGAAATATTTTGGATTCCTCAAACACTTTGAAAAGTAGCCTTGCATTCAGACTGAATAAAATAACCCAGCAGAGCTCATTTTTCTCATCCATAAGAAGAGGTGCTAACCAGCTATACAAGCACATCTCTGGGACTTACCATCCCAGTTCTCTGCATCCTCCTTGACCATCCCTCTCAGGGTTTCAACTAGTTGTTTTAGATGTCTTTAGCTTTACACAAAGAAGTTTCACTTCAGGTAACAACTCCAACCCACTGGTAGTGGCTGCTTGAAATTATTGTGTTCAAGAGGATTCTAAAGCCATATCCAAACCAATTGGGAAAAGGATGCAATGATCAAACTGTGATGTCTGCTAACAAGAGGGTAATGATGACACAACAAATATCTGCCACTCACCCCTGCCAGCTTTAGAAAGACTCCCAAGGGAAGGAACTAGATTATGGATCTAGCAATTCTGGATGTAGAGCTGCCCAGGAAGGGCTTTGTTCCCAGATAGTGCAATGTTCCTGGCTCAACAGGAACCCTAATAAGGTTGGTAACAAAGACAGGGAGTCAATCTGGGACTTAGGCACAGGCTGGTGAGAGGTATCAAAACATTCCTTTTGACATGTGGTCATATCCAGTGGACTTTTAGAAATCCTACAGTTTAGGAATTCTAAATCGCTGGTGTCTTATGTTGGATATGTGTGCTCATTCTTCCCAAGAGGAGTATTGGAAAGAGCAGTGGGCTGGGAGTCTGAAGATCTAGGTTCAAAGTCTCTCATGCTTATGAGGCTGTAGGACCTCAGAAACATCACTTAAGCTCTATGAGCCTGGGTTTCCTCATCTGAAAGAATGGGAGTATTAGAAATAACTGCCTTGCTTACCACCCAGCATTATTTTGCAGCCTAAATGAGATAAGATAGAGGAAAGTGCTTGGGAAACCATTTGCTGTTCTGCAGCCCCAGGACCGTTATCAAGGGCTCTCTCTGAACTCACATGGGTGAATCTTCTCATTGTCTGTATGTGTTTTTTTATAGGTACTTCAAGAAGGACAAGGCAGTTTGGTACTTTTCCAGGCAACTATGTAAAGCCTTTGCATCTATAAGAAGACTGAAAACCACAGAGATTATTTTTACTGGAGGATGAAGCATAAAACACAAACCGGTCTCTTTATTTAAACATTGAGTCAGTAGGAGAACTAATGTAGTGGATAAAGTAAGAAGCAAAAGAGAGGACAGAGAAGTGTTGTGTCTAAAATCCGAGTCTGTCTAAGCTTACTGTGTATCAGACGGGGCTGAACTATGCGCTGAGCAAAAAGGAATGAGGCAAATCTGTATTTACTTAGCTGCTTCTGGGAGCCACTCCAGCCTTCCCCTCCTCCCCGCTTCTTGGGTAATCTGACCTGCAGCACAGTCCAGGAGCAGTTAGCCCAGCAATGCCTCTTATTGCCCCAGCCTTGACCAGCTCTGGCTCAAAGGGGTCGTTTAGCCTGAAGCAGCCCTTGGAGCACCAAGCAGATCCCCAGCCATTTTCCAAAGGCTGTACACGCAGACTCCTCCAGCCTCCATCCCCAGCAGCCCCAGAGCCCACTGAACCCCCAACGCTGCTGGAGATCCATCTGGGCTGTCTAGGCCATCCCTAGACAGTGATGGAGGCCCCAAACTACCCAAGCCAAGTCCTTCACTGGACCTGCTGAGGTACGGGGGGAAGTGGAGGCAAAATTTAGGCGTCCTGTGGATTCAGCTTGTGTGCAGCATTGCCATTGACGCCCCTGGTGTTCAGATAGAAAAGCACACAAGGTTTGCCCATGGGAGCGGGTGGCCAGGCGGATAGACAAATTTGTATGTCCAAGTGATTAAGTCAAGAAGCCCCGTAGCTCTTGAGGTCACTGGCAGTGTGCTCCTTTCCCACATCACTGGCTTTTATAAATAGTCACCTTCAGGGCAGCACAGTTTCGTTTAGCAGGATGCCATTGCTAACCTTTCTTTTTTGGATTGTTTTTGGCCAGGACAGCTTGGGGTTGGTAGGCCTATTCTCACAGCCAAAGATAGTATTCAGTGATTCCTGTAACATACACTGATGTACACTGGATGCTGGTGAGCAAGACGTGTCTCCAAGCCTTAGAAGAGACTCACTATGTCTCCATTTTCACTGCCCGTACGAGCTCAAGGACCACTCCAAATGTAGTAACCAGGGTTGTGAATCCTGATGCACGCTGGTGAGGCTTCTCTTCAGAGCAGAAGGTGCATATGCAGTGGCCCTAACTGTGAGGCAGTGATTCTGCCCCTCTCAGAAGGTCTGTCCTCTGTGGGGGCCACATCTGAGGGAGACCCCTGTGACGCCTCGGGTGTTCAGTCACAACTCGATCCAATTCAAGGATGTTTATCAGCCTCTCTGTTAGACCCCTTGGAGAAATAAAGATAGAAATGACCCATTCCCTGCCTCCTGGGAACTCAGAGGTGATTGGAGAGACAGACTCACAAAAAAATACTAAGTCAAGAGAGACTGTGATATGTGCTAAGAAGGGTGTGAGAGAGGAAGAGATGAATTTTCCCTGGAGGGATCCTAGAAAGCATTGTCCTATTTCTGTCTCTGTTAGCTCACTTTTGAGCAACTAGGGTGCTAGAAGAACCTTTGTCTGAGGGTAGTTATGGCTGGAAATACTTGGAACCATTTCCATAGTCTTCAAACTCGCATCCACCCCACAAATACACGTCCAAGATCACAAATAGGAGTAGCAGTTCTAGGTGGTAGGGTGTGCACAGGAACCCTGGCTCTCTGCATGTAGCTCAGAATTGCCCCAGGACAGTTGTCCCAAAGTCTGGAGTTTTTATAAGTAGGCAAAGTTTGTCTTCAGTGCCTCTGCCTTGGATTCTGCCTCCACTACTCATCTTAGGATCCCGTCACATGCCTACCCCCATCAGGCAGCCACAGTACCCTCACTCTCCCTGTCCTCCTTGCACATCCTGCTCTCAGGAAAGAAACTGCCACTGACTCCTTCACACTAAAGTGTAAATGACTGATAAGAGGAATGTGTTACCTCTTCCCAGAGACGTTTGTTTTTGACTAGGACAGAGCAGAGCCTTAATCCCAAGGGAAAAGGCTGTGGCACTAATGGTGGGGGTGGGGGTGCAGGTGGGTTGGAGGAGCTTCCTGAGTAGAAGGGCCTTTTTTTGTTTGTGAGGAAGATCAGCCCTGTGCTAACGTCTGCCAATCCTCCTCTTTTTTTTTTTTTTTTTGCTGAGGAAGACTGGCCCTGGGCTAACATCCGTGCCCATCTTCCTTCACTTTATATGGGACGCCGCCACAGCATGGCTTGCCAAGTGGCGTGTTGGTGCGTGCCTGGGACCTGAACCGGCAAACCCCAGGCCACCGCAGCGGAGCACTTGCACTTAACCAGTTGTACCACCAGGCCGGCCTCAGAAGGGCCTTCTTGATATTCTTAAATAAGACTCATAGCTTTGGAAGGTCCACTCCACCATCCAAGGGCACTGTTTTTTTTTTTGACTCACTCTCTGAGGGAATATAGTACATGTGCATTTTCACGTGCATTTTGCACGGCAGCATTTCACCCATTTTGGAATGTAATTCTTGTATTGACTAATGTGTTTCCTGGTCTTTCTTAGATGCAAACCATTAACACAACCTTATCTAATAGTTTTTTGAGGGGCGCTTCTTGGTTAAGTAGGTAATTTTGAACACCTCTTTAAATACAGCTAGAAAATGAAACCAATTTGTAAAGCTACATTTGCATATGATGCCAGCCTCACGCATTTGTATATCTCCAGAAACACAGGTATGCCTCACCAATTTGCCCGTCTTTAATAAAATATGTTAAAATTTGCATCAAACTTCAGCTTCCTACGTATGACAAAATGGGGAACAAAGGTTTCCAACAGCTCTTTTGTCTTCAGACATTTAGTAATATAAAATACCTATTTTTATGCTGAAATGTTTATACAGGTTTATTAATAGCAAGTGCAACTAATTGGCGCATGCCTTGCGACACATTTTGATATACTAGCCATGCTTCTGGGCAAAGGCAGGCCTCTGACTACTTACCTTTTGCAGTCTCTCTGTGATCAGTAAAAGAAAAATATCATATGCTTAAGAAGTGGGACTGTAAATATGTATATTTAACTTTGTATAGCCCATGTACTTACTTTGTATAGAAAAATAATTTTAAAAATTTGAACTGAAGGGGGGTAAAATAAGGAAGTCATGAAGTTTTTTGCATTTTTATTTAAATGAAGGAATTCCAAATAACTCACCTGCAGATTTTTAGCACAAAAATAGCCATTGAAAAGTGTTAAAATTTTAAATAATCATTCTTTCTGGGAGAGACGGTAACTGTTATCTCAGTTATAGTTTTTTGTTGTGTTTTCGATTTTTTTTTCAGTCCTATTTATCTGCAGTAGTATTAAGTCCTATTGCTAGAACAGATTACTACAAAAAGGATTATATTCTGAAAGAAAAATAACTGACATTATATATAACCAATTAATTTAAAGTATTGCCATTTAAATTACACACCAAGAGCATGTACTATGCAGACACAAATTTTTCCGTTCATTTATTTTTCTTTATTGCAGTGGATTTGATAACTAGATGTGTCGAATTACTACATTTGCTGTACATATTATTTAATAAACTTTATTCGGAATTGTGTGGCATATGTTTGTTCTTACCATTCATTGTTTCTTTCCTTCCTTTGCCAAGTTTCTCCAATGAGGCTTCTATTCACTGTATTCGTGTACCATCTGGCTTTCATCCTGCTCCTTGAAGTCACCACTTCTTACCTTACACTTTTCTCAATAAGCTAACTCCATGACTCTCTCTGAATTGATTGTTGTGGACTATTTCACCATTCTTTGTAAAATATGTTTTTATCTGTTCTGATTACAAAAATAATGCATATATGTCTTTAAAGCAAAAGTGAAACATTATAAAATATGTATAATGGGTCTTTTTTATAATTTTATTTATTTTTCCCCCAAAGCCCCAGCAGATAGTTGTATGTCACAGTTGCACATCCTTCCAGTTGCTATATGTGGGACACGGCCTCAGCATGGCCGGAGAAGCGGTGCGTCGGTGCGCACCCGGGATCCGAACCCGGGCCGCCAGCAGCAGAGCACGCGCACCCAAACGCTAAGCCACGGGGCCGGCCCTAATGGGTCTTGATTTGCTCCACAGACATGAGTACAGGAAATAACAGCACTTTTTCTAAATCAAATTAAATCTGGCTCTGAGTCTTCTTTTGCTGTGGTGGGTGAAAATGCAGTCTGTCCTTTTTTCCCCTCCCAAACCAAGTGTGTCAAGGCTGTGGCACTAGGCATCCAGCCTCCCCTGGCATCCCATGGCTAGAACCACTCCCATCTCTGAGGTGGAGCCTGCTGCACACTGTGCATGGGTCTGTCCCATGACAGAAAACCCCAAACCTCCACCCTTTCTGCCCTGGTTCTGCCCTCCTCCACCTCCTTCAACTCAAAGCACCAGTTTACACTGCCACCTTTTGGGGGTAACTCAGTGGAATCCCCCTCAGTGGGCTTATGCCTTAGTCCTGGGAGACTTCCAGGGGTCTGACAGCCTCAATACTGGGCCCTCAGTCATAGGCACTCATGCCCTGCATCCTGTCCAATAAATCCATCAGCCACATCTCCAAAATACGTTTAGGACCCAAACACTTCAACCACTATAGTCCAGCCATTTTCTCTCACCTGTATCATTGCAATCACTTTCTAACTGGTCTCCCTGCTTCCACCCTTACTCCCTGTACTTTAGTCTTAGAGCAACCAGAGCGATCATTTTAAAGTTGTTCCAAAACCCTCTAATGGCTTCTCCTCTCGCTCAGTGGTACAATGGCCTCAAGTCCAATAGGCACACTGCGTGCCCCTCTCCCTTACCTGGGCTTCATTTCTCATTGTTCCTTCCAGCCACACAGTCCTTACGGCCTCAAACTCATCAAGCACACTTCAGCTTTAAGGTCTTATGTATGCTATCCCCTGTGCCTGGAAGACCTTTTCCCCTCAAGCTGCATGGCTTTCTTCCTCCCTTCCTTTAGCTCTTGATGCTGCCTTCTCAATGAGGCTTTCTCTGACCACTTTATATATAATAGGACCCTACTGTCTCTCCCCCAGCATTCTATCCACATTCTCTTCCTCTTTGCTTCTCCATAACACTCATCAGCGTCTGATACTTGTTTTCACAATGATATAAAATCCATGAGGATAATGATTCTATTTTGCTATTATATGCCCAGCACCGAGAAGAGTGCCTAACACAGTTGGCACTCATTCACTCAATCCTTTATTGATCAAATAAATGAGTGAATAAATGAATGAATAAAACTTCAGGGCCAGAGATCGTAGAACTCAGAATACAGTCACGAGCCACATAACATTTCAGTCAACGACAGACCCCATATATGATAGTGGTCTCATAAGATTGGTACCATACAGCCTAGGTATGTAGTAAGCTATACCATCTAAGTTTGTGTAAGTACACTCTATGATGTTTGCACAACAATAAAATTGCCTAACAACGCATTTCTTAAAATGTATCCCTGTCGTTAAGTGACCCATGGCTGTACTAATACTAATAGTGAAAGGAGGGAAAAATCATCTTGCGTTTTTCTTACAGCAGCAGAAATAAAACAGAAATTAATCTCTCAAATTATTCCGGGCTCATATAAACATAGAAAGTGAAAGTTCTCCATAATTGTAGTCATCCCAACAGAGGTCATCACTGCCAACCAATGTATGGTCCTCCGAGCTTCTCTGCAGTTACTAAATATACATATCTATAAATAAATGGTTTGTATCATCATATACTTTTTTCCTCAACACTAGAACTTGGACATTTTTCCATAATTTATTTAACCAGTCCCCTATTGTTGATGCAAATATTTGAGGTTATTGCCAGCTTTTTACCACAACAAAGAGTGCTGCATTGAGTACAATTATTGGCTCAAAGAGCAGGAACATTTCAAATCTTGAGATACTGCCAAATTGCCTTCCAAAATGTATCATACCAATTTATACTCCTGCCAAGTCTATGGGAGTGTCTGTTTCCTCATCAGCCAATTAAAACTAGCCCATTATCTGCTTCTATGTAATGCTGTTCCTTGGTTTGCCTACCTTTTCTCTGGCCAGCCCCTTCTCAGTCCTCTTTCTAGATCTTCACTGAATTATCTCTCAACACATGCTCCTGTAGGAAGCAAATCCCTCATCATATAATTTGGCCCACAGAGTCAATTGTATGAGGGGTCCTATCAATAAGTGGTAGAAACCTAACACTACTGGCCATTCTTGAGTCATATCACTGGGAAGAAGGGAGTTGGAACTAGCCTTAGGCAGGAGTAAATCCAGAGACTCAAACTTGCTGTATTTGTCTTATTCTTAGCGTTTTTGGT